CTTTTGGACTTGGCTATTGACACGGTAGCGGTTTATCGATTCTCCAAGTAGCTTAATGTGGAGAGAAATGATGATAGAGATCATTTTATTCCAGCGATCACAGCTAACATGTCATTTCACAGTTGTTAGATTATCGAGTGCATTATCCTAAAATGTCTTGCTTTGTCAAATAGCGAGACAAAGTATTTCTACTAACTAAAAGATTCTACAATTTTACTAAGAAATAAATTTTTTTCCAAGAGCACAATAAAAAACTTATCCCGTGCAATCAGATCTGTAGAGGTACTAAAATATCAGTGTTGCCGTATGATTTCCGCCATAGTAATGTGCAAAAATTTTAATATGCCATCGAACAATGAACCAAATATGTTGCCTTTCAAGCAAAACCGGATGTGCTCCAGTGGCACAACCTCCCAGAACTGATCATTGCATTTGGCGATGGAAGTTCTTTATAAGAACGTTTTTCTTATAATCTTGCTATTTGCCTGTTTCAATGAGTGTTCACTTGTGGAAGATCAAGATTTTCCAGTACTGTAGCAGCTCTCGAAAGGTCTTCTCTTACGCAGTGTCACATGTTCTCTTGCTGCACGTCACTTTTGAGAAGATTCAGAGCACATCATTTCCTTCGAGATACTTGTGCAGCTTATATTTTTCATGAAGGCCGGTTTTCACAAAGGGAAATTTACTGCACTGCACGGCAGTTAGATTGCCTATCGATTGGAAAAGAAGTAAGGTATAAGCTTAAATGTGTGAAACTCCTCTGTAAAAGGCAAGTTGTTAGGCTCAAAGGACCAAACTTTCAGCCTACATTAACATTAGTTTGAATACTTGAAAGTCTGTACGATTTAAGTTAAGTTCCAAAAATACTCGTAGAATTTTAGTGCGAATACGTGAAAGCCGCCGCCATGTCCTCGCCTTGATGGATTATGAAAGATATAAGCTTACAATACTTGAACCTGCTGATCTGATGATGAAAATGCCTGACACTTGTAGAGCTTTCACATAGCACATAGAGGATGAATCTTTTTATCAACCAGGAACTTCAAAAAAGTGTTCGTAGAGTTCTAATCCTGGTTTTTTTTTATTAGAGCTGAATGCAGAGTTTGCTGTCAGTTTTCACATGTAGTGTGTATTACATACATACATAGTTTATTTAAGCAGCTTACAAAATAGGCAAGACTAAAGTCCTGATGTGGACATGCACTAACTACATCCATTAGATGTACCTTAATCACTAGTTTATGTTTTTTAACAGGTTTATTTGTGCTGTGCTTGCTATAATCATGGACTTGAAGTTTTGAAGTTGTCAAGATGGTAAGTTTGTATGGAACCATTATTTGCTCTTGACTCTAGAGTTCTTATATTTAGGACATGACTGAGGTCACAGTAGAGCTGTGAAACCCTGAAAAGAGCCCCCTTTGACTGATCTTTGACAAGTATTCATACTTTAATAATATTCATTAGTCCTCGTGCACACTATACAAGCATGCCTTAATTATTCATAGTTGTCAGTTTTGCCTAACTTTGGTTGGAATCATTTGAAATATGTCCCAGAGTCCGTCCGCAGTGAATGACCCTGCAAGTTCCCAGCAAATTTTACAGCCCCTTCAAGGCTCTGTTAAGCAGGCTGCTTCGCCAACCATGTCTTCATCACAGGCGGGTGCAACTTCAGGAACAACTGCGAACGGTGACAACGTGTCCCAAAGTTCTTCTCAGGAAAACGCCACTGGGATGAATGTGTCAAACAACTCGACAGTGAACCTTGAGGTATTCAGCTACAATGCTTTAGTTTTGTATTCTAGCCGGGGTTTGTTGGTCATTTCTTTTTGCCCAATGTTACATTACCTCGTTTATGTTTTTCTCGTTACTTGGGAGCCGGTTTTTAAACTTCGTGCTTGGAGCATATGGTCGGTAATTTATTCCTTTGGGCTCGCCATGATAAGTTCCTTTAAATGTTAGGCGATAATCTGTTGTTTATATTGTTTTTTTTGCTGTTGCACTCATTTGTTTTCTCTTCTTTGCTTGTTTCTTATGAATTAGCGTTGCTATATATTTGGGAGCTGTTTTAGTTTTGTTTTGGTTGAGGTCTGAAGAAATTACTTAAGCTGTTTGCACCTTTTTTCTTGCTTGTCCCTTGGGAGGGGCGTGGCACGCGAGGCCTCGGTCAAGGTCTGGTGTTGTCTGACAGTGGTGATTGGTTTTGTTTGTCTGGCCACATGGTGGCGTGGACCGTTTGAGCAGTGTGTTGAGGACTTCTGCTCTGTGCCATGAGGTGCAAAACAGTACTAATGCGAAGTAAGGACTGGATTTAAGGTCATGGAGTTCTTTGGCGTTTCTTTCCTTTGTTAGGTCTCGCCCACAACGGTCGGTGTGATAAAGAAGGAATTGGATATGTGATCGGGGGTTCTAGGGAAAACAGTTCTAATGCGAAGTAAGGACTGGATTTAAGGACATTGTGGAGTTCTTTGGCGTTTCTTTCCTTTGTTAGGTCTCGCCCACAACGGTCGGTGTGATAAAGAAGGAATTGCATGAGTGGAAGAAAAAAATTGATGCATTGGCAATCGAGTCTGCCTTGTTGACTCTCCAGATGGTCATTGCGTGTCCAGTGGCTCTTTTTGACCCACATGCTGCGATCATCGCTCTAGATGAAGAGGTCAATGTCACGAAGGAAAAGAAGGATGAAAGAGCATTGTGTTATGAAATAGTGCTAAGGCAGTGCCATCTGTTGTCGAACAACCCGTGCCTTCAACGGGTATTAATAAAGCTGGTGGCATCTAAAGAGGAGGCGGAGGTGGCAAAGGTTATTGCTAAGGCAACCAAACGGCCCGTCCCGGTAAATCAAGGTTCGTTCACTGGATGGACATGTAAGGCTCTGTGCCAGAGGCGTGGCACCAATCTCAGCCCTAGATCACCTTCAGAGAGGAAGTGCTGGGTGTGTGGAAAGGCAGGACACATCTTGCGCTCCTGCACGAACAAGCGTTAAGGATTGTGTAATCAGTGAAAGTGATTTGTTTTGAAACGGAATTCTGGATTGTCTTTGTATTTGCAGTTGACAATAATAAAATGTAAAGGCACCGTATTTTGTGTCACTTCCTTTTTTTCCCTTTTCTTGGAAGTCTGTGGTCTCGAGGTTGGGAGAATGACCCCACAAGCGTTTTGCCCATAGGCATGCCCTTGAGCCCGATTACTTGGGCTATGGTGGTCATTTTCTCCGAACTTGGATTTGCAGCCTCCATTTAAGTACATCATTCTGATCCCTTCTTTTTCTTTGGTGCTTTTGTTTTAGCCTAAAATGAAACGTCATAAGGGAGATATGATGACCTTTATGCCCTTAGAAGCGGAGGAAAAAAGCAGACGTAGGGAAATGCGATGGGTATCCCTGGAGGGTAAACTGAGTTTAGAGAAAATGACATCAGAAGATGCTTGTTTAACCCGTGTTCAAGGGATTATTGCGGGGGAAACTCCTAAGCTGCGGGATCTGTCGTTTTGCGATCCAGACTCCGTTTAATCTGGTCAACTGGTTGGAGTTATGCTTCCCTTTGGTTGGAAGAATACTCCGTTTATATACCAGAGTGTTGGTCTGGGCCCCACAAATTTTCTCAGGAGTTTAGGGGTCGTGTGTTCCCTGTATATTGATGACTGTTTGAATGGGGAACTGTTTGCTTTGAAGGGTTTTTTGGTCACGCCCACTGTTGCAGAGGATGCCGGAATACAGCTATCAGTCTGCGGAGGCGGCTTTGTACATAGTTTGTTCAGTTCTTGTAAACGTCAGTTATTTTCTGGGCCTCTCCAAATGCGTTCTTGTCCCGTAACCAGGATCTGTTATTTAGGTATGATAGTGGATTCTATAGTGCAGGTTTTTTGCATTCCTGAAGATAAGAAGATAAAGTTTGCACAGCTACGCGAGCAAATACTTCTGCATGAAACTACTATTACCTTGAAGTCTTTACAGAGGTTAATGGGGAAATACAATACCTTCTCCCTGGCTTTTCTAGCGACTAAATTCTACATAAGGGAAATGGCGGCATCAATCGTGAAGGCTTCCAGAGGTGGTGAGGTGAATTTATCTTTGAATCTGAGAGAAGAAGAAGTGTTTTGGAGGTTGTTGGATGGTTGGGACAAGGCGATTCAGTGGAGAAGTGAACGTCATGTTGCCATCTCTTTTACTTCAGACGCTTCGTCTTTCCGTTGGGGAGCGGGAATTCACCTTCCTACTAGGACCATTTCTGTCGGTGACTACTGGGAAGAAACCGTTCGAGACAAGCGTATTAATGTGAAGGAAATGTGGGCCATCCTCAAGGGCTTGCAGTCACTTCCTGAAAGCGTCTCTGATTGCAGGATTGATGCACAGGTAGACAGCATGGTTGTTTTCCACGCTTGGTCTGGCTGTGGCCACGCTCTAGTAAGTTAACTCAGATTTCATAATTGATTTTCCAGTTCTTGGTGGACAGAAACCTTTCTCTGGAATGTCTTTTGTTCCTTCTCACCTAAGCCAGGCAGACTGGTTTTCGAGGAGACTATCTCGTTCAGGTGCTCTGCTTTCTCCTAAGTCTTCGGAAATCATCCAGCATTGGTTGGGAGGAATCAATGGCCATGATCTTGATTTGATGTCGTTAGATTCCAATGTTCAACGTGACTGGTGTGGGAACCTGTTAAAGCACTTTATGCCCTACCCTACTCCAGGGTCATCCAGTGTCAGTGTTTTTCACCAAGACCTCTCTGTTTGTGATCGTAACTGCATTAACACCTACGTTTTCCCACCATTTTCACTGATTGGGCCTCTTTTGTGTTTCCTCGCTTCAGTGAATGCAGTTGTTACGGTAGTAGTACCATTGATGTCCCCCTTACCCAGGCAGTGGCCATCATTAAATGCTTTGTCCAGCCACAGTGTTTTGCTGACGGAGAAGGGATCATCGGATATGTTCCTTTTCCATTCAAAGGATGGTTTTATACCTGGCCCCTCTCCATATAGCCTCTTGGCATTTAGGATTGGAAAAAACATGTCATTAACAACCTAACAGGAGAAACCTTCTCTCTTTTCAGTCTGCCGTTGGTACTCAGACTTTTCCAGCCATTTGTGTCATGCCCGGTTTGTTCCAAACCCAATGATTTTGATTTTCACTATTGTCAGAGATGTGGTTATCAGCGTCAGACAAGGTAACTTCAAACTTTGAAGAGTCTCAAGACCCCTATTGACCTGTGTTCAATAAGGGAGCGAAGGAAAACTTTGGTTGCTAGGTAACAGGCTACCCTTATCAAAAACAAGGAAGTGCTTTAGAGATGGAGTTTTCACAGTTCTTAGAATCCACCTTGAAGAGGGACATTTGCTCGGCAATACCTGGCGATGTGATTGACTTCTTGATCTGGAAGGATAATTTTGGCAAGACAGTGGTACATATTGATACCTGCCCCTTCTTTGGTGAGAAGAGTGCTTCTTCTTGTGTTTGCCCTAAGCATTTAGCATATGGCTCTGTTGACTCAATTATTGGTAAATTGACAGCTATATTTAATAAGTATGGGAGATCCGCAACTGATAGTCTCTTCCCTGGGGTTACCAACCCCGCAGCTTCACCACTGGTTAAGTCCTATTTATTGGCTGTCAGAGAGGAACAGCTCGTCGCAAGAGTCATGCAGAGACAGGCTGAACTATTCTTTCTTCAGGATTTGGTGTTTTATCTGCAGAAATAGCTAAGCGCATGAACGTACACGTTCGTTCTTCAGCACAGCTATTTGTTCTGGTAAGAGATCAAGCCTTTTTTAAGGTACAATTCTTTGGTGGCGACAGGGCCGGAGATCTCGGTTGAATGAAAACAAGGGGGATTCTTTATTTTCCGGAAAAAGACTCTACTCTTTAACCGTACACTCACTAATTCTCTTTTTTGCTATCAAGCGTCATGCGGACTCTTCTGTTTGCCCGGTGACTGTAGTTGAGGTTTACATTAGCTTATGCGACCTATTGAAGATCTCTATCCGATAAGGATTTTTGTTTAGGCCCCTCAACCCATCTGGAGAAATTTTACCAGCACCTTTTGAGTTGGCTGTGGCTCAGGCGTGGCTCTTAATGTATGTTCACTAAATCCCGGCATTTGCTAATCAGAACATTACTTTACATGGTCTAAGGAGTGGTTGTGCAATTTTGCTAGCCATTGCCGGAGCAAAGCTTGATGCGATCATGGATCACATGGGCTGGAAGTCCTCAAAGTCAGCACATCATTATATTAAGTTGAATCAGGTGCTTGGCCTTGGTGGGGCGGTGGACACCTTGTCTTTGTTGGAAGTGGATTTAGCGAAAGCTTACAAGCAGTATAACAACCTGCATGGCTTTACTATAGCATTCTAAACACTTGCTCTTCTCTTGTTTACCGTGTTTTGTGGAAACAAATATTGCGAATGTTTCAGGATGTAAAGCTTGTATTGTTTTCCCAAAGCATCTGAGACTTGGTTTTCTTGTTTTCAATAGAGGTAGATTTTAGCTAATGTTTACAGGACATTTCGTTAGCTTGCATAGGTTTTCATAGTTTTCATAGGTTCGTTTGGTCTTGTCTTGTTCATTTTTCTTTTGTGGAATAAATTTTGGAAATGCGTTCAAGGTTTGAAATAATTTGGCATGGTTTTCTCCATAGCATTTAGGACAGTCATGTTGAAATACTAGTGAGGGTTGGGAAATTAGTTTGGTTAAGGATGGGTAAGGTTGGGGGCTTATTTTTGGTATGGTTGTTTGGATTAGCCAGTGAATTCCATGGTGATTGCGGGGTGCAGTCTGGGGTGACTTTCCCATAACTAAATGCTAATGAGTATGCAAGGATAATGAACTATTCATACTTTATTAATATTCATTAGTCTTCATGCATAGTATATAAGGATGCCTTATTTATTCATAGTTGTCAGTTTTGCCTAACTTTGGCTGGAATCGTCCCACCCACCCTCCCCTTCTGCTTACTCTATTAGCACCTTTCATGTTTTCCCCAGTGAGCTCGCTTGTCTGGGGTGACTTTCCCATAACTAAATGCTAATGAGTATGCAAGAAGGATAATGAACAATTACATGTTAATAAATATACCCCTGGTGACGACAGTGCCAATAGGCCATTTGCATTATGACATCAAAGCGCAAAGGCTTTTGGTAGCTGTAGTAAAGTTGGCGGGTAGACATTGTAATATGAACAAAATATCTCTCACAGAAGAAGACCTCCCTGAGGTGTCAATTAATTGAAGTTGTGAAAATTACTTCTGATGTTGTGCATAATGCATCTCCTTGCAACTGATGATGCATTTCTGTCACTGGTATCCTCTGTTCCCCAGTGTACTAAAGCAAACCTTAAACGCTAAAAAATTGTTCCCTGAAAGTTGAATTTCACGAGCTTTCTGGTATATTCCTTTTTACAAGGTACAGGGTCAAGGTACAAGGTCTGTTTTACAGGTATGCCTAGAGACATCCTGAAGAGGGTGTTGAAGTTATCCCTATTCAATGACCTCTCCCAACACAAAAACTTACTTATAAACTAAGACCAGACCAGGAAACCGGGAACTACATGCCCTACTCTTATCGAACAGTATCGTGGGTTCTTTAACGTCCCCTTCAGGTTGATACAGAGGGTGAAGGAGACAAGGCCAACAGTTTAACGTCACTGCCCAATGACACAATTTTAAGGCTGGGGAGAGAATATTATTTTCACACCACTTGCTGGAAATGGGGAATTTTCAGTCAAATGTTAGCCATTTATGAACAATCAAAATTTGACCGAAATCGCTTTCATCCCCTGTCTCTTTCTTCACTGTTAGTCACCACTGGTGATAAGCCCACAGTCATTGCTGTTTGTGGCTTTCATCTTGCGGATAGAATTTTCTATAACAGAAGCATTGACAGCTACAGCAGCGTAACACGATCGGAATCATACGAGGCTCGCTTTGCCAATTCAGGAAATGCTTTTTCCCACAAAATGTATTACAACTGCTGACAACCTTTGCACATTTGACTTCATAGTGCAAATGGCCTATTAACCAAGTAGTAGAATAGAACAATATGGGAGAAAACGAGAAATGAACTTAGTTGTTAATTAAAGGTTTTCTTTTTCATGCTACTATCTTTTAGAGGCAACATCATCAGGGATCTTGTCAAAAGTGCAGTGCTGTGTATTTTAACAGATATAAGCCTGAAAAGTGTCAGTCTTGTGGATTTCACATTGGGGGATCCTATCAACCCAAATCCGAAAAAAAAAACATCAATGTTCCTCAGTGTGTTGAATTCTTAAATCATGTAACTTGCCGATTTTTTTCATCTCGCACTGTCAGGAATCTACGGTGTGTTTTTATTGTAGATGGTGAGCAAACTCAATGCCACAACGAGCAATGCAAGCTTGCAAGAGCTGCATTTGTTAACAGCAATAGTGCTTGTTCATTTACCTGCCCTCACATTGTGCAAGCAGAGGAAGCAGTTCAACCTCTGTCCACTCATACCTTGACACCTGAGGTAATTTCCCAGTACAAAGCAGATCAAAGTACCAAGGACAGATTGTTTGAGGTTATGAATGCGGTTCCATTTCCACATTTGCATCGGTTATCAGAGTCTGTTTTCTGTGCTTGTGGGTCATCAACTTCTTCAAAACCAATTGGATTTGTCCATCTTACACTGGCAAATTGGAAAATGGACTGTTCGTCAAGTGACTGTAAAGGGTATGGCAGTGTCATGAGGCGGGAAAAGAAAAAGAAAATATGCATACACTGTCATACCCTTTTGTGTTTCTATGGTGTGCCGATGTTAATGCCAGCAACATCTTCTGCTCAGGCTGAGGCAACGTCTTGGGATGTCTCCGCCATTTCCAATTCTCCATGCCCTTCCACTTCCCATCCGATGGTAACAGCAACTGCATCTTTTGCAACAGCAACTACATCTTCTGCATGCAATGTATCAGAAAGCAGTATCTCAAGAGATTCTACCATCAAGCTTAAAATGCTCAACTCTTTGCATTACGACATTCCTGCCAATATTTTGGGTAGGATTGCCTTAAATGACAGCCACTCAAACGGCCCTGAAAATATTAAAAATGGTTGGCCAAGTTCCTTCTCTCCAGAGGTTGATTACTGTTGTCTTTGCGGAAGCCAGTTGTCAACCCCTCGACCACATCCGGGACAGAAAGCAGGACCTGTGTCATATATACTGACCAGTGCTGTGACCTTTTTGCCAGTTGAGGTTTTCATTAAGTTCTGTCAGGAGGCTGGGTGCAAGGCGATGCATCAAGCATTCCCTTTCTATTTTGGTTAGTAATGAGTGTAGTTTTAATGTTTTATGACAAGCTCACTTAATATACTATATGATCAATTTTAACCATGAGTTAATTTTTTTCAGCAAATGAGACTAATACTAGAATCATTGTGTAGTTACACAAAATATGCATACTCCACTCATAGAAGGTTTTCTTTTTTTGTGTCCCCCTCCCTAGATTAATTTTCAATTTAGTTCCAGTTTTCATTGTTTTGGGTTTCCAATTTGGAATTTGCAACAACCTTGCAGTTTTTTCTTCTTGTAATGATTTTCATTTGCTGCTTTTTCAACATCTTCTTCACAATAATTATGGTTATTTCTTTATAGCTTTTCACATGGTCATATTTTCATAAGTTTTGTATATACTACACACCAAGTTGATGTAATGTGCTTGCTTCATTAATATTTATGATTATATTGTTTGCTGTTTTCTAGGACTGTTTAATATCAGTGATAAGCTCCTTGTGTCTCTAGACATTTTGATGGAGCTCAGAGAGTTCTTCAAGTGTGGATTCCCTCTCACAGTTGCCATTGACAGCAAGCTTGCTGTTCTTTCATTAAAAGCAAAGCAGGTATCAGCACAGTGGTTTTGTCCTTGGTTTAATTGCATTCAAGTGATTTTTACGTTAGGTTTGCCTCTTAAATCAGAAAGTGTGGCATAACAGCTAATACAATTATTCCAGAAGCTTGTGTTGGATATGAGGTGATAACTAGCCATTAAGTGTGTAAGTGCCCCTATAGCACGAGTTTAAATCCCTTATTTGATTTGGTTTAATCTTTAAAGTCACACTAGGTGACTCGTCACGTGCTCTTAAGTCGTCTCATGTTTCCATACGGAACTCATGTTGCGCTAGACATCTATTATGTAATTCAATATAATTTAGGAAAAAAGGACCTTTGATCAGTTTTCGCAAGCACTTGTGCTCCGAAGGGAAGAAATTACTTCTTATTAGTTAGTCATATCGAAGGAAGGAAAGGTTCCATTGATGTCAACTCTCGCCAGATCCGGCAATAATGTAAGTTTGATTTACCTGGAATATTTCTTAAGCTATTTGCTCGGCTCTAATTTTGTAAATCAATTGGTTTTAGTTTCACGATACAATACAACAATAAAGAAGGCGTTTCAAAAGAAGTTTGGTACAAAATAGGTTGTGTCTATCCGTGGATTTTGTGTGGTCCAGCTAGCGGTGGACAAGCNCTATCTCGTTCAGGTGCTCTGCTTTCTCCTAAGTCTTCGGAAATCATCCAGCATTGGTTGGGAGGAATCAATGGCCATGATCTTGATTTGATGTCGTTAGATTCCAATGTTCAACGTGACTGGTGTGGGAACCTGTTAAAGCACTTTATGCCCTACCCTACTCCAGGGTCATCCAGTGTCAGTGTTTTTCACCAAGACCTCTCTGTTTGTGATCGTAACTGCATTAACACCTACGTTTTCCCACCATTTTCACTGATTGGGCCTCTTTTGTGTTTCCTCGCTTCAGTGAATGCAGTTGTTACGGTAGTAGTACCATTGATGTCCCCCTTACCCAGGCAGTGGCCATCATTAAATGCTTTGTCCAGCCACAGTGTTTTGCTGACGGAGAAGGGATCATCGGATATGTTCCTTTTCCATTCAAAGGATGGTTTTATACCTGGCCCCTCTCCATATAGCCTCTTGGCATTTAGGATTGGAAAAAACATGTCATTAACAACCTAACAGGAGAAACCTTCTCTCTTTTCAGTCTGCCGTTGGTACTCAGACTTTTCCAGCCATTTGTGTCATGCCCGGTTTGTTCCAAACCCAATGATTTTGATTTTCACTATTGTCAGAGATGTGGTTATCAGCGTCAGACAAGGTAACTTCAAACTTTGAAGAGTCTCAAGACCCCTATTGACCTGTGTTCAATAAGGGAGCGAAGGAAAACTTTGGTTGCTAGGTAACAGGCTACCCTTATCAAAAACAAGGAAGTGCTTTAGAGATGGAGTTTTCACAGTTCTTAGAATCCACCTTGAAGAGGGACATTTGCTCGGCAATACCTGGCGATGTGATTGACTTCTTGATCTGGAAGGATAATTTTGGCAAGACAGTGGTACATATTGATACCTGCCCCTTCTTTGGTGAGAAGAGTGCTTCTTCTTGTGTTTGCCCTAAGCATTTAGCATATGGCTCTGTTGACTCAATTATTGGTAAATTGACAGCTATATTTAATAAGTATGGGAGATCCGCAACTGATAGTCTCTTCCCTGGGGTTACCAACCCCGCAGCTTCACCACTGGTTAAGTCCTATTTATTGGCTGTCAGAGAGGAACAGCTCGTCGCAAGAGTCATGCAGAGACAGGCTGAACTATTCTTTCTTCAGGATTTGGTGTTTTATCTGCAGAAATAGCTAAGCGCATGAACGTACACGTTCGTTCTTCAGCACAGCTATTTGTTCTGGTAAGAGATCAAGCCTTTTTTAAGGTACAATTCTTTGGTGGCGACAGGGCCGGAGATCTCGGTTGAATGAAAACAAGGGGGATTCTTTATTTTCCGGAAAAAGACTCTACTCTTTAACCGTACACTCACTAATTCTCTTTTTTGCTATCAAGCGTCATGCGGACTCTTCTGTTTGCCCGGTGACTGTAGTTGAGGTTTACATTAGCTTATGCGACCTATTGAAGATCTCTATCCGATAAGGATTTTTGTTTAGGCCCCTCAACCCATCTGGAGAAATTTTACCAGCACCTTTTGAGTTGGCTGTGGCTCAGGCGTGGCTCTTAATGTATGTTCACTAAATCCCGGCATTTGTTAATCGGAACGTTACTTTACATGGTCTAAGGAGTGGTTGTGCAATTTTGCTAGCCATTGCCGGAGCAAAGCTTGATGCGATCATGGATCACATGGGCTGGAAGTCCTCAAAGTCAGCACATCATTATATTAAGTTGAATCAGGTGCTTGGCCTTGGTGGGGCGGTGGACACCTTGTCTTTGTTGGAAGTGGATTTAGCGAAAGCTTACAAGCAGTATAACAACCTGCATGGCTTTACTATAGCATTCTAAACACTTGCTCTTCTCTTGTTTACCGTGTTTTGTGGAAACAAATATTGCGAATGTTTCAGGATGTAAAGCTTGTATTGTTTTCCCAAAGCATCTGAGACTTGGTTTTCTTGTTTTCAATAGAGGTAGATTTTAGCTAATGTTTACAGGACATTTCGTTAGCTTGCATAGGTTTTCATAGTTTTCACAGGTTCGTTTGGTCTTGTCTTGTTCATTTTTCTTTTGTGGAATAAATTTTGGAAATGCGTTCAAGGTTTGAAATAATTTGGCATGGTTTTCTCCATAGCATTTAGGACAGTCATGTTGAAATACTAGTGAGGGTTGGGAAATTAGTTTGGTTAAGGATGGGTAAGGTTGGGGGCTTATTTTTGGTATGGTTGTTTGGATTAGCCAGTGAATTCCATGGTGATTGCGGGGTGCAGTCTGGGGTGACTTTCCCATAACTAAATGCTAATGAGTATGCAAGGATAATGAACTATTCATACTTTATTAATATTCATTAGTCTTCATGCATAGTATATAAGGATGCCTTATTTATTCATAGTTGTCAGTTTTGCCTAACTTTGGCTGGAATCGTCCCACCCACCCTCCCCTTCTGCTTACTCTATTAGCACCTTTCATGTTTTCCCCAGTGAGCTCGCTTGTCTGGGGTGACTTTCCCATAACTAAATGCTAATGAGTATGCAAGAAGGATAATGAACAATTACATGTTAATAAATATACCCCTGGTGACGACAGTGCCAATAGGCCATTTGCATTATGACATCAAAGCGCAAAGGCTTTTGGTAGCTGTAGTAAAGTTGGCGGGTAGACATTGTAATATGAACAAAATATCTCTCACAGAAGAAGACCTCCCTGAGGTGTCAATTAATTGAAGTTGTGAAAATTACTTCTGATGTTGTGCATAATGCATCTCCTTGCAACTGATGATGCATTTCTGTCACTGGTATCCTCTGTTCCCCAGTGTACTAAAGCAAACCTTAAACGCTAAAAAATTGTTCCCTGAAAGTTGAATTTCACGAGCTTTCTGGTATATTCCTTTTTACAAGGTACAGGGTCAAGGTACAAGGTCTGTTTTACAGGTATGCCTAGAGACATCCTGAAGAGGGTGTTGAAGTTATCCCTATTCAATGACCTCTCCCAACACAAAAACTTACTTATAAACTAAGACCAGACCAGGAAACCGGGAACTACATGCCCTACTCTTATCGAACAGTATCGTGGGTTCTTTAACGTCCCCTTCAGGTTGATACAGAGGGTGAAGGAGACAAGGCCAACAGTTTAACGTCACTGCCCAATGACACAATTTTAAGGCTGGGGAGAGAATATTATTTTCACACCACTTGCTGAAAATGGGGAATTTTCAGTCAAATGTTAGCCATTTATGAACAATCAAAATTTGACCGAAATCGCTTTCATCCCCTGTCTCTTTCTTCACTGTTAGTCACCACTGGTGATAAGCCCACAGTCATTGCTGTTTGTGGCTTTCATCTTGCGGATAGAATTTTCTATAACAGAAGCATTGACAGCTACAGCAGCGTAACACGATCGGAATCATACGAGGCTCGCTTTGCCAATTCAGGAAATGCTTTTTCCCACAAAATGTATTACAACTGCTGACAACCTTTGCACATTTGACTTCATAGTGCAAATGGCCTATTAACCAAGTAGTAGAATAGAACAATATGGGAGAAAACGAGAAATGAACTTAGTTGTTAATTAAAGGTTTTCTTTTTCATGCTACTATCTTTTAGAGGCAACATCATCAGGGATCTTGTCAAAAGTGCAGTGCTGTGTATTTTAACAGATATAAGCCTGAAAAGTGTCAGTCTTGTGGATTTCACATTGGGGGATCCTATCAACCCAAATCCGAAAAAAAAAACATCAATGTTCCTCAGTGTGTTGAATTCTTAAATCATGTAACTTGCCGATTTTTTTCATCTCGCACTGTCAGGAATCTACGGTGTGTTTTTATTGTAGATGGTGAGCAAACTCAATGCCACAACGAGCAATGCAAGCTTGCAAGAGCTGCATTTGTTAACAGCAATAGTGCTTGTTCATTTACCTGCCCTCACATTGTGCAAGCAGAGGAAGCAGTTCAACCTCTGTCCACTCATACCTTGACACCTGAGGTAATTTCCCAGTACAAAGCAGATCAAAGTACCAAGGACAGATTGTTTGAGGTTATGAATGCGGTTCCATTTCCACATTTGCATCGGTTATCAGAGTCTGTTTTCTGTGCTTGTGGGTCATCAACTTCTTCAAAACCAATTGGATTTGTCCATCTTACACTGGCAAATTGGAAAATGGACTGTTCGTCAAGTGACTGTAAAGGGTATGGCAGTGTCATGAGGCGGGAAAAGAAAAAGAAAATATGCATACACTGTCATACCCTTTTGTGTTTCTATGGTGTGCCGATGTTAATGCCAGCAACATCTTCTGCTCAGGCTGAGGCAACGTCTTGGGATGTCTCCGCCATTTCCAATTCTCCATGCCCTTCCACTTCCCATCCGATGGTAACAGCAACTGCATCTTTTGCAACAGCAACTACATCTTCTGCATGCAATGTATCAGAAAGCAGTATCTCAAGAGATTCCACCATCAAGCTTAAAATGCTCAACTCTTTGCATTACGACATTCCTGCCAATATTTTGGGTAGGATTGCCTTAAATGACAGCCACTCAAACGGCCCTGAAAATATTAAAAATGGTTGGCCAAGTTCCTTCTCTCCAGAGGTTGATTACTGTTGTCTTTGCGGAAGCCAGTTGTCAACCCCTCGACCACATCCGGGACAGAAAGCAGGACCTGTGTCATATATACTGACCAGTGCTGTGACCTTTTTGCCAGTTGAGGTTTTCATTAAGTTCTGTCAGGAGGCTGGGTGCAAGGCGATGCATCAAGCATTCCCTTTCTATTTTGGTTAGTAATGAGTGTAGTTTTAATGTTTTATGACAAGCTCACTTAATATACTATATGATCAATTTTAACCATGAGTTAATTTTTTTCAGCAAATGAGACTAATACTAGAATCATTGTGTAGTTACACAAAATATGCATACTCCACTCATAGAAGGTTTTCTTTTTTTGTGTCCCCCTCCCTAGATTAATTTTCAATTTAGTTCCAGTTTTCATTGTTTTGGGTTTCCAATTTGGAATTTGCAACAAC